ATATATATATATATATATATATATATATATATTGTGTACTATAACTACTGTTTTTGAGAAATCAAACAAAATTTATGATTAATTTAAAATTTTAGTTTCAAGCAATAACCACTTGTAAAATACCCACACTTCGTTACAAGAACAATGTAAAATTTTGTGATTATTTTTTGCAATTATATGATTATTACACACATAACGTTTGTATACATTTATGACATTTACCAAATCATTGTATTTTGGACATTTGTATTCATCATTATTAAAAATTCTATCATTCGTCGTCAACATTTTTAAAAATTGTTTTTCTGTTGAACCACCTATGTATGCGATCACTTCGTCTTTGCACAAATTTCTAATATACCAATTTAATATGGGGATGATGTTATCTTGTTTGTAGACACATTTTAATTCTTCGGTCATATCAAAATATAGAATGCCGTGCACGTGTGTTTCACAATAACGAACAGTTTTTTTGTCTTTTGGCGACAAATAATTGAAAGGATAACTTGGCCGAAACAAATAATGATCGATAAACGCATCATTTTTATTAGATAGTTTTACGTCTAGAATAGCCATTTCTCTACATTGAAAATGTTTATCTTGATGTATTGATGTATCTAATATTAAACTACAACTATTAAAACAAACTATTAAAAGTATTTACACGTGACTAAAAATATGTTTGTTCCAACAAACTTCACATAACAATGCTTCATTACTTCCCATCATCCCATTTCTTCCTTCTGCTCTTGTCTTTCTGTAATTTAAGTAAACAGAATCACATTCACTAATGATCAACTAATGACTGTCATTGTTAAAAAAGTATTTTTTAACTACTCTAGTATTCGTAGATGCGGTACACCACAATATTTAAATATAATTTGTTAACACTAAATCATACATCATACACACGTAAGAAATTAACAGGAAGAAAATAAGTTTGTCAATAGAATAAACACTTAAAATTGCAATTAACAATTTAATTGGTGCCGGCGGGGATCGAACCCGGGTCGCGTACTGTGAAATTTACAGCTTGCGCTAACCATCTGAGCTACCACGGCTTAATCATATACACACAATATTTAAATATAATTTGTTACACTAAATCGTACACACGTAAGAAAATAACAGAAAGAAAAGTAAGTTTTTCAATAGAATAAACACTTACATCCATGGCCTTTGATGCGTTGAAGTAACACAAATGTAGTATTGATGGATCCACTGCGGTCAAACAACCATACACTAACTCAATGACTGCAGTTGCTTGGTCTTATATAATACCAGTAAATAATAATTCAAATCTAAAGAATTTCTGCAATGATTTAAATCAAAATAAAAAAAGACAATGAATTACAAGAAGACGCTGTACAAGAGAAAAAAGAAAACGGCAAAGAGTAGGAAATAGAACTAAGGAAAGAAAAAGAGGTTGAAGAAAAAATGAAGACAACGAGAACGAAGAAGAAAAAAAGAAGATTTTGTCGGGATATCGAAATATCCGAATGTAAATATATGTGAACACGGAGAAATAAGTGAGGATGAAGACGTTCAACCAACCAAAAGAATAAAAATACTTGGTGAAAGACACTTAAATTTCAGTGAATTTTAGTAACATTCTATTTGTTTATAACAAATACATACATATAATATGACATACACTTGTGCTATTCTACCTACTTAGCTACCTACTTTACCTACCTACCTACCTACACTACCTACCCTACCTAGCCCGTACGCCAAGCCGTGCGCACTTTAGATCGTACAATACCTACCTTACATTTGCTCCAGAAGAGCACTAAATAGATCAGAATTATGTAAAATTGTGTACCTATGAAAAAACTATTTTTTCGTTTTAAACAAAACCAAAGGCACTATGCAGTAGATAATAGTATCAAAGACAAAGATATGCTCTTTTATTTTAAACCATAACCTGGCAATGTTTCTTAGAAAAAAAAAAGAAATCACTCTGAACTTTCGGCGTTCCACGTGTCGTTTTGATGAAGGTGCTCCGTCTTTTTTATAGAATTTTATATTTGTGTCTGGACTAAAAACGAAAGTATTATACTTTTTTATATTCCTTGTAATATAGTGAACACGTAGATATATAATTTGTGGTATAAAAAGTGAAAAGTAAATTGCCAAAAGTACTTCAAAATCTGGAAGGCCCATTTTGGCGGTTGGGTCATAAATGTGTTATTTTTCAAATTCTCATTTATTTTTAGTGTAAAATGTGAGTAAAAATAGTTTTCTTACATATTTCAAATAACTTGACGTTGTATTTATTTCAAATTCACACATAAATATTTTTGAAATATTGTTCTAAATGTCACACAGATAAAATATTATTATTGTTTTTTTTAATTTTTTAATATTTTAATATTTTGGTATGAGTAACGAATGGAAACATATAAAACATAAAAATATACATATTTCCAAACATTTTCATATAAATTTCTCCAAAAACAAAAGTGTAGAATTCAAATTAGTAGTAATTTTGTCACTAAAATTGAAGTATATACTACTACTATGCTATACAGGGTAATTTACGTATTTTATTACAATTTCTAGCAACCAAAAGTAATTTTATTCGATAGTTTATACATTCAACAAGAATTCCTGTAAGTTTTATCCATAAATATTGTCTCAAAGTGAAAATGTAGCAAAATTTGCAATATAGCAAAAAATTTTCTAACTTACAAATTTTCCCGCCAACCTGTTAACCAAGCGCTGCTCACATTAGATCGCGCAATACCAACCTTACGCCCGCCAAGTAGTGATCGAATTAGATCAGAATTATGTAAACATGTCTACCTATGAAAAAACTATTTTTTCGTTTTAAACAAAACCAAAGACACTATGCAATAGATATTAGTATCAAAGACAAAGATATGCTCTTTTATTTTAAACCATAACCTGGCAATGTTTCTTAGAAAAAAAAAAAAAGAAATCACTCTGAACTTTCGGCGTTCCACGTGCCGTTTTGATGACGGTGCTCCGTGTTTTTATAGAATTTTATATTTGTGTCTGGACTAAAAACGAAAGTATTATACTTTTTTATATTCCTTGTAATATAGTGAACACATATATATATAATTTGTGGTATAAAAAGTGAAAAGTAAATTGCCAAAAGTGCTTCAAAATCTGGAAGGCCAATTATGGCGGCTGGGTCATAAATGTGGTATTTTTCACATTCTCATTTATTTTTAGTGTAAAATGTAAGTAAATATAGTTTTCTTACATATTTCAAATAACTTGACGTTGTATTTATTTCAAATTCACACAAAACTATTTTAGAAATATTGTTCTAAATGTCACACAGATAAAATATTAATATTTAATTTTTTTAATTTCTTTATATTTTATATTTTGGTATGAGTAACGAATGGAAACACATAAAACATGAAAATATACATATTTCCAAACAATTTGATATAAATTTCTCCAAAAACAAAAGTGTAGAATTCAAATTAGTAGTAATTTTGTCACTAAAATTGAAGTACATACTACTACTGTGCTATACAGGGTAATTTACGTATTTTATTACAATTTCTAGCAACCAAAAATAATTTTATTCGATAGTTTATACATTCAACAAGAATTCCTGTAAGTTTTATCCATAAATATTGTCTCAAAGTGAAAATATAGCAAAATTTGCAATATAGCAAAAAATTTGCTAATTTTCAAATTTTCCCGCCATTACGGTCCCGAGCGAACGGGAGTATAACATGTCGCGCCCTGTCAGAGCGTACCGGCTAGAAACCTTTCTCAGACTTTAAAGAATATTTGATAAAAATATATTAACCGAGTTGGTCCAGCCGTTCTTGAGTTTTGCGCTTAGCAACACATTTAGCCATTCATTTCTATTTATATAAAATATAATTAAAAAGATACATCATGTTTCTAGTCAGGCTGATTTATACTAAAGGTATAGTTTCTACCCGCGGCCTCGAAAGCGTTTAACAATTTTATTCGTAACTACAGCCCGAAAAGTACATCCATGTCAATAGAATTATCTATTAATAGAATTATTATAAATAAAAAGAAAAATGGACCTCGTAAATCCTCACTTAAGAGTCTATCCCGGTAAAGTTGTAAAGGCCGCAGGGCAAATAATATAAATTTTCAGAACAAAACTAAGATTGCGACGTTTAAGCTTCGAGCTTTTTTGTAGATATGGGTGACAAACGAGCACACAGTTCATCTGATAGTAAGTGAATGCTGTGGCCCATAGACATTTATCCTCGATTAAGAAACAATACGCAGATGCGTTGTCACCCCTGAGGACTAAGATGGAATGCCTCGTTTCCAGTAAAAAGGGTCTCCCGTTCTCTACGCTCACCATAGGAAACACAGTAGTATAAGCAGCTATTTTACGCTGGTATTCTGTGAGAGCATGGTCCTTTCCGGGTCGAGCCATACGTGCTACAATCATAGTAAAACTGCAGCGTGGCTCTACCACGTATAAAACGAACGAGCTCAGGTTCCTTGTATAATACAGATGCACCACATAGGTCACAGAACAGAAAATGGGTACGTACTTGGACTTATTAGAACTTATTCTAGGATATTATATTATGCGCTACACATAAAAATTAATTTAACTTTCACGATGATTTGACCTTCTGTGATTTCGCCACTCTGTGACGAGACAAAGCGCGGCAACGCAAGTGGCGGCAAGGCGCGGGCCGCTGCGCACCTTTTCTGTCGCATGCGGGTAGTGGAGTGGCGCGGAGAGGGGTCGTTAGCTCCGCCCAAATGCACAAGGCCATTAGCGTGAATACAAGCCTTAAACCTGGTTGACTCTATATGGGGAAATTGGGTTTCAATGTTAATAAAAAATTATTTTTCTCATATTTTTCGACACATTACATTTTAACATATTTTTCATTACATTTTTCCGCATATTTTTAGTTATTTTTATATTTATTTGCTTATATTACAGAATCTTCGTTATATTGACGAAAGCATTAATTGACGTCATCAACGGCGTGATTCTGATTTAGATATTGATGTGGGCAATGACGATTCTGATGATGATCCAACGTTCAATCCTGAAGCTGAAGGTAATGAAGACGAAGAGAATGACAGCTCAGATGAATATAAATGCAGTGAAGATATCGGTGAGGCTTCTACCCAAAATTATAGCCAATCTTCCCAAAATCAGTCACCAGCACTAGATTTTTTCCAACCTCGTCGCCTGTTCTGGAAAACCACAAATGTTTTTGAGCCATTGCCACCAGCACCTACCTTTGAGGAGACTGATCGAATGGCCATAAATTTACCACCAAACGAGTATGTGACCAAGTATATACCCAGCGACTTCTATAAGCTAATCGCTTTCCACACAAGCCAAAGCTATCTTGCTGAAACTGGACAGAATCTGAATACGTCAGAAAAGGTTGTGATGAGAACATTTTGGCGTAACAGTTATGATGTCAAAACAGGTACATCCCTGTACAGCGTCCAGGATTATATAAGTTACTACAGGATTTCATCCAGAACACGCGAGTGGACAATTAGACTCATATTCCATTTATATGATTTTGCTTTGGCAGCATCCTGGATAGAATATAAATCAGAGCAGGAAATACTAGGTACTAGAAAAAAAGACATACTGGACTATCTTGGGTTTCGCAGGAAGCGATAGCTAACTTTCTACTGCAATATGAAAAGGAAATAGAAGAAGATCTTTCTGCTGATGATGATAACGTGCCGGTTGCAAGTCAAATCAAGTGGGCTCGAACTCAGCATCTATCTGATTTCGTAAGATCGAGAAAATAAGATCATTTACCTATTGTTTTGGACACTCAAAACCGCTGCAGACTGCCAGGTTGTAAGTCTACTAAGGCAGGACATAAATACCCAACTTGTAAGGTGATTTTGTGTCTGATAAGTGGAAGAAATTGCTATAAAGACTATCACGAATTGCTTATACAGTAAGTTTAATTATAAAAAATAATATTTGTAACACTGAAAAATAACCAAATTTTCGAATAAAAAATCGGTTCACAGTTGACGAAGATATATACAAAAAGTACACAGTCGAATTCGTAACCACCTCTATTTTTTGTAAGTCAAGAGTTAGAGGGATACAAATTAAAGATTAGTACAGCCGCACGCTGATAGTACTTGATTATATGTTCTCATCATAACATTTTCGATAAAGTTATCATAAAAGATACGTTTCAATTATTCACATGTATGATAAAAGTTGTCTTTATATACTGGCTGTTTTTTGCCGCCTGGGAAAAATAGGGTGTAGGTGAACGGAATAGAAGCCTACGGCATCTATATTTTACAATTTTTTTTACATTAACATATTATGAAATTGATCTATTAATAAATACTACTAATTCGGTGCGTGTTAATTTTTATTTCGATAGTTTTTAATTGGTTTATTTGTTTGATTCAACATTTTTGTTTTTATTTTTTTATTAAGTACCGAAAGTTTATCTCAAATTAAAGGTATTTATTGATATTTCAATTTTATAATATATTAATGTAAAACCAAAAAATATGTATAATATCAGTGCCATAGACTTGTATTCCGTTCACCTATTACACCCGATTTTTTTCCAGACGGTAAAAAAAATCACTCGTATATATTTCTTCTCTACGTGTGTTTAGTCACTGAACTCCTCCTTAACGGCTGGACTGATTTCGTTATTTTTTTTGTGTGTGGTTTCGAGGGTCCCTGGATTGTTTATATTCCATTGGACCCGGTAGGTGGCGCTGTTGTCGAGGTCCGAAAATCACCCGTGCGAAACCGGGGTGGAGCGCTGGTAATTATCGTTGTTTCGAATTTGATCTCTATTGATTTTTGCTTCAAGGTGCTGGACTCCAAATAGATTTGTATCATTGCTTTTTGAAGAGTGGGGGCTAATGCTATGTATCATTTAGCACCTGTCACATTGTCTCAACAACAAATATTGGTTATTGGCTTTACGCATCCTGGAGCCCGGAGTGTCACAATCGTCAAATGCGTCCCACAAGTTGTTATTTATAAACATTATTAGACTCAAAATAAACAGCGAAAGGAACAGTTGCCCAGGTGAGCCTAGATATATGAGTGATGCCGAAATTATTGTGATATATTTTCGAAATTATTAATTTTTAAACCGTTTATCAGTTTTAACAGACAGTGTCGTGAATTGCGATATTTTTTTACATCTGCAGATTAAATTATTTGCAGAAGCCTTATTATTTAATATGTATAATTATTTAAAAATTGTCGCTTTCAAACTATATAATATGTAGATACTAAAACTATTCTTCCTATAAAAACAATCAACAAAATTATTTTAAAGTCGGGAAATATTGTAGGTAAGTAAGTATGTAATACATTACACACATGTGTAGATAGAAAGACTTGAATATAATATATGTGGAACGTTGGGCATAGGTGTAGATAGAATGAACTTAATATATTTGTAATACATTACACACAAGTGTAGATAGAAAGACCTTATATATGACCTTTTATATATGTAATACATTGGATACAGGTATAGATAGCATGACTTAAATGTATGTACGACCTTATGTTAATTTTTGTACTAGTTACATATTATCCCAAAAATTAAATTGATTATAGAATTTGCTCTTTAACAAATAAAAGGAATAACTTAATTACTAAAAATACGACCTACAACAATAATTTCATAACAAAAGGCTCATTAAAATAAATTACTATTTGGTAATAAGCCATTGCATAATATGTTGATATTATTTTGTATAATACATGTTGGTACCATGCGCCCAGCGGCAACTCGTGAAATCTGACAACATAACACGGCACTAGCTTCGCAACCGTTTAGCAACGTACATCCATCAACATGGCCGCGTTACAAAAAGCCCGAATTTGTCATATTGCTTCACATTCACATTCGCCATAAGTATTTAAAATAATATAAAGGTATTCATTTTGTACTTCTTAGATTCATGCCATACACAAGGTGTACTACATCCTTGTGATACGGATCTTTGTTAGATTACGACCAGTTTCCCTTTTACCGATAGTTCTTCTGAACCCCTTGAATTACATCGATTCCCTCCCCCCTTCCCCACGTTGCACAGTAATTTCAATAGCCTGGGCTTCGGCACTCCAAACACCGTTGGCAGAACCGTTGCCCTCAATATCTCGTAAATCCTCACTTAAGAGTCTATCCCGGTAAAGTTGTAAAGGCCGCAGGGCAAATAACATACATTTTCAGAACAAAACTAAGATTGCGACGTTTAAGTAGGTACCTTCGAGCTTTTTTGTAGATATGGGTGACAAACGAGCACACAGTTCATCTGATAGTAAGTGGATGCTGTGGCCCATAGACATTTATACTCGATTAAGAATCAATATGCAGATGCGTTGTCACCCCTGAGGACTAAGATGGAATGCCTCGTTTCCAGTAAAAAGGGTCTCCCGTTCTCTACGCTCACCTTAGGAAACACAGTAGTATAAGCAGCTATTTTAAGCTGGTATTCTGTGAGAGCATGGTCCTTTCCGGGTCGAGCCGAACCATACGTGCTACAATCCTAGTATAGCTGCAGCGTGGCTCTACCACGTATAAAACGAACGAGCTCAGGTTCCTTGTATAATACAGATGCACCACATAGGTCACAGAACAGAAAATGGGTACGTACTTGGACTTATTAGAACTTATTCTAGGATATTATATTTAATAACCTAGGATTACGGCAGATTTTTACTATTCAACATGAAGCGACTAAACGAAGCAATGTACTATTAATTAGGAAACTGCAATATTATGTTTATGAAATATTGGGCTCGGAGTTATCACTGTATTTCATAACTTTTAAGAACTCAAGAAGTCATTATAATAAATGTTTTCCTGGTCAATAGCATAGTATCAGTAAGTCAAGGCCCAATTTTTAATCAATTTCTGTTCCTAGTTTCTAAAAGTAGTTTCTAAAAGTAGAGCATAAGCCTCCTCTCGTTAGTGAGAGAATTATGGAGCAATGAAATTAAATGAAAATGAAATGAAATATAATTATTTCTTCGAAGCAATTATGTCCTCCAGACTGAATTTCGGTCACGGCGGCCAGCCTCCACGAAGACTAAACATCGGCGCAGGACAGGATTATAGTGCCCAAGTGTATGCGCAAGCACAGGTGCACTCTCTATTCCATCACTCTCATAATCCGATGGCACGGTAAACCGACAAGACCGAAAAGAGATTACGCGCAGGACCAACGGCTTTACGTGCTTTCCGAGGCAGGGGGGTGAGACACCGCCAACTTCCTGACTCCGGACAGCTACTGAGAATTTCGTAATGGAAAAACTTAATAACTAATTTTTTTCTTGGCCCTACCCGGGATTTGAACCCGGGACCTCACGATCAATAATTAATTTACTACAACCACTAGACCAACGAGACAGTCTAGTCTTCGAAGAAGTAACATACATTTAAACAGATTTGAAAACAATAACAGACCCATCGATAACCGAAGCGTGTTCTGTGATGTGCTAAAAGTTTTGACGGCTCGGTGGCTGTGGCTTAGCAATGAATGAAACTAGTTTTTACAGATTTTATCGCGTATGCTGGGTTATTTTGCGATAACCAGCCAAATATGCAGATGGTTCAGCATAAGTAATATAGGCAAATGGTAAACAAAAATTAAATGAAAAAATCTCAAAAATTCATCCTTTTTATCCTTTAAATTTAAAATGCGCTGTAATGCATTTTTAACTAATTTTGCTGCGCACGCACACATTCGTAAGGGTCAATCAGTAGGCGAAAACGTTGCCCATAAATCACATTCAGTTTGGGATAATTACAAATAAAAGTAGAAGCCTTATTTATTCGTATTTTCAAAAACTGCAATAACGGTATATCATTATTTATATATTTGAAATTAAGTTTAAAATTTGGCTACTATTTGAAAAATAACCCTGAATATTAACATATTTTATTTTCCAGATGTTTCAAGTACTTTACAGCATCCATGGTCATGGGGGGACGGAGCGGACTGAGTCCGCAAAAACCGTAAAGATTAAAAATGAGATCTGAATTCCATAAAAACTAGTTTAATTTAAATGTGTAATGTTCACATAAACATAAGAAACCTTAAACCTTAGTTACGGCACCAAGGGCCGCGGGTACAGAATAAATAATAGTACTACGTATCGAGGGTTTGAGTCCCGCACGGAACATATACTTATATGGCCAGTACCGTCTTTACAATAAGGGCACACGGGGCCCGCGCCCAGGACCTCTATCACCACTGAGGTCCCCGTGACAAAAGGCATTTCTTCGCTTATGCTATACAATCTTTTTTCTATTTTAGGAAAATATAACCCGACAAAATTTTACAGAGTATATGAGGACGTTGTTAGTGACTTTCTGGCAACCCTGAGCAGTGACAAACCACACATTGCCGAGTTAGCCAGAAAAAGTATTAAATATACTATCATAGCAAGAAAATGTTTTTGTAATTCACTTTTTTTTATTTTCCAATAGGGCCCCAAATTCTTCTGTCCCCAGGGGCCCCGGTATGTCCTAAGACGGCGTCGTATATGACCTATAAGTATTTGTTACGGGTCTGGATGTTTGTCCTTGTGCAATTTATGTATGTAAACGGTCTCCACGATACAGGAGAAGAGAACATACTAGTGTGGGGATAACGTATTTT